GCAGCTCGGCAGGCTGCTGGGAGAAATGGTCATTGCTCGGGGAGGAGTTCTGCCCAGCATTCAGGTGGTCCTGCTGCCCAAGAGGACAGAGAGGTCTGCTGGGTCTGGATGGACGGATTGGCATCTGCAGCCAGTTTCTTCAGATCCGCTTTTGGATGGACTGTTACAAGAGATCCTTCCTGCCCAAGCCATCAGCATCGAGAACAACTCTAATGAAACAAGATGGTGAGCTACAACAACAATTAATTTCCCTTTGGGATTAATAAAGTATTTTTGAATTGAACGACCAGTTAACCAGTCAATACAGGCTGCAATGATGGGTACGGTAGATACAGCCAGTTGTGAATCTTAGCACAACGTGATAGACAGCATCCAGCATCTGCAGGGTGCTTGCAGGAGCAGTCATGTAAATGATGTCACCTTAGTCAATAAAGGGAAGGAAAGTCGCAGTTACAAGGTGTTTCCTAGCATTCAGAGTTAGACAGGATCTATTTCTGAAAAAGAAACCCAGTTTTACTTTCAGTTTATTTACCAAGTTTTTGATGTGGGGCTTAAAAGAGAGATGCAAATCAACCAAGATAAACTCAATAGAAGCACCATTCACTTTCAGAATGATTTGTTGAATTAGCTGTGTAGAGATGTAGTAGAATGATGTATGAATGAGTGTGTGGAGATAAACGAGGACACAGATTGTAGTGTAAAGCACTTGGAGTATCTTGATTAGATAGAAAGGCGCTATATAAGTACAGTACATTTACCATTTACAGTACGATTTGTCTGTGTCTGCACGTGTTCAAGCCTGATCAACCATGACTGAAAAATGTACTTCACATTGAAAAAGGATGAACCCAGTTAAACCACTGGTGTACTTGGCTTATAATGAATCAAAAAGTTTTACCTTGTTCAGTAAATGAGGATACAAATGACAAATATTTTGTCATACAGAAAACAGCTTTTCTTCATCACATTGCCCTTATCTTAACACATATACTATTGTTAGCACTAAACTGAACTTAAAGCTAGGCTTAAACAAAATATTGAAGAAAGAACGGATCAGGTGTTCTCAATTTGCACAATTATCCTTGCTGACAAATATACTATAGAAGCTGCACACATCATAAACAGTACAGATATTGGTCTAATATTTTTCTTCTATAAACATTCAGCTCTTTCCTTCACTATCACTTCACTTCTAAATGCAATACTAGCAGTTTTGTTTTAGGGCAGTGAGGAAACAAGTGGAAGGAGGACAGAAAAGAAACATTTAAAGTTGTTTAAGAAAAACTTTATAAAAGTTTGAATGAATAATAGCAGCCATTAAATAAAATACATCAATTTACTTAACTGAGAGACGTGAAAGTTAAGTGCATCTTTAAAAATCCATCCATCCATCCATCCATTTTCTTTACCCGCTTGTTCCATTTTGGGTCACGGGGGTCGCCGGTGCCCATGTCCAGCAATCACTGTGCGAGGGGCGGGGTACACCCTGGACGGGTCACAAGTCCATCACAGGGCCACATAGAGACAAACGAGACAAACAACCATTCACTCTCTCACTCACACCTAGGGACAATTTAGAGTTACCAATCAGCCTAACATGCATATTTTTGGTCTGTGGGAGGAAACCGGAGTACCCGGAGAAAACCCACGCATGCACGGAGAGAACATGTAAACTCCACCTAGAAAGGCCCCTGGACTGGGGTTTGAACCAAGGACCTGCTCGCTGAGAGGCAGCAGCTCTACCAGTTGTGCCACCGTGCTGCCCTCTTTAAAAATCATGAAACTAAATGCATTAAGAAAACTATGAAAGACAAGCATCACTTAAAGTCACATAGCTGACTATTGATCTGTAAATCAGTTTTACAGTCACAACATTTGATTACAATCACAATTATTTTAATGAAACCAGGACAAAGTCAGTGATGTTACCAAGCCAAAACAAGTGCTGAGAGATCAGCAGAGGCCACACTGAAACAGAGGGTGGTTCCCTGAAAAAAGACCAAGCCAAGCACACTAGACATGTATTAGTGAACTTCTTGTGAACAAGGCATCTATCTACACAGACACACAAACACCCACACATGTAGCCCGAGCAGACGCAATCAAATCTCCTCTGTTTGTGGCTTCTATGCAAGGGAACATGATAGGGGATACTATACTTCCATGCACACAGCCAGCCTTTCCAAAAGCATGAATATGGATTGTGATGACCACAATGTTTGAACATGAATAACACATGTATGCCATAACCACACCACAACCAGTGGAGTATATGAAGCTCCCACAGCCCTACCCTTCAGCTGGAAGAGGACGTAAAACATAACCATAAAGGCAAAAAAATAAACAAATAAATGCAACATTATGCATTGGTCATGGTCTCATTGACCAAAGTCCTAAACAGAGCTCCCACTGTTCTGTGTTGGGATATACAAGTCCAGTGTGTTCACATATAGTTCTATTTTTTACTTTTAAAGACTAGCTACTCGTTATTTTTGGTCAGATTCAGCCTCTTGCTATTAAAATCAACCTCTTAAAGTATAGCAATGACTTCATGCTACCATGTTATAACCCTGCGCTGAGTGTCTAAATGAGGCTGAAAGGAAAATAAATGCAGTAGTCCTCACGTTCTACTGAGAGAAAATAATACAGTTGCATGCATTTTAGGCACTAATGGATGACATAATGTTTTGCAAAGTCTCATGAGATATTGGGAAATTCTCAGAGAATTCATTGAGGATGACTCTCAGCTAGTACCACAAAACTTAGCTAAATATCTGTAACCTGCAAAGCTCTCAACAACCTAGCTTATTCAAGATCTTATTGTTCCGTATTGTCCTAACAGAGCACTTTGATCTCAGACTGAAGGCTTACTCGTAGTTCCTAGAGTTTCCAAAGGCAGAATGAGAGGAAGATCTTTCAGTTATCAGGCTCCTCTCTTGTGGAAACAACTTCCAGTTTCTGTCTGTAAGGCTGACACATTGTCCAGTTTTAAGACTGGACATTAAACTTTTCTTTGTAAAAAAAATCCTATAGTTAGGGTTGGCTTGTTATGCTGCCCAAGGCTTAGACTACTGGAGGACAAACTGACCTCATTTCCTTAAGTGAATTGCTCAAATTGAATAGTTTTCATTTGATACTTTTTTCTATCTTAACGTGATTCTTGACCTGCCAATGTGTATGTGTTCCTCCTTCCTGTTCCTCTCAAACCCAGCCAGCCGAAGGAGATGACGGCTTGTCCTGAGTCTGGTTCTGCTAAAAGTTTCTTCCTCATTAAGGAGTTCTTCCTTTCCACTCTCGCCTTCATGCTTGTTTAAGATGAGAGTCTGGGATGGACTTAAAGTCAAAGCGGTTTGCTCCTCAGATAAATAATGTTGTGATAGATATCTATATATATATATATATATATATATATATATATATATATATGAATGTTTCTGTTCAGTGTCCTGAAAATGACTTCTGTTCTGACTTGGTGCTATATAAATAAACTGAACTGAATGGAATTGGGCAGCATGGTGGTGCAACTGGTAGAGATGCTGCCTCTCGAGCAGGTAACCCTGTTTCAAATCCTGGTCCGGGGGCCTTTCTGGGTGGAGTATGCATGTTCTCTCCATGTATGTCTTCAGGCCAAGGGCTCCCTTGTAAAAGAGATCTGTGATCTCAGTGGGATTTGTATGGTTAAATATTGGTTAATAAATGCATGGGTTTTCTCCGGGTACTCCAGTTTCCTCCCACAGACCAAAAACATGCATGTCAGACTGATTGGTAACTCTAAATTGTCTCTAGGTGTGAGTGAGTGAGTGAGTGAGTGAGTGAGTGAGTGAGTGAGTGAGTG